CCCATTACTTACACGATACCCTTTTCGACAATGAGGTTTGAATTCGGGATCTTAAAGTTCAATAACTGAGATAGAGACGAAGACGATGGCCATTAGGTCAGTTACTACCCTCACTCACCCTTCCATTTTTGCCTCTCTATGATTTGGAAAGTTACACTTCAATTTCGTATAATATGNACAGAGACGAAGACGATGGCCATTAGGTCAGTTACTACCCTCACTCACCATTCCATTTTTGCCTCTCTATGATTTGGAAAGTTACACTTCAATTTCGTATAATATGNACAATGACGAATGCTTCTCAATGTTGTTTCTCAATGTTCTTTGAGTTGATAATCAATATTGCGACCTTTAATCATAACTCAAACTACGTCCTTTTGCTTGCGTTTTATAGTTGAATCACTTAGACTTGTTTTATCAATCCATAAAAACTAACGAACCCAAAGTCAGATCAAAGAAAAAAGTTTTTATTCTCATCAAATTCCTAATAACTTGTTTAATTACACCATTCTAACTAATAATCACTTTTTTTTAATAAAATATCAAGAAAAGTGTCTAATCATGAGGGTAGTCCTTAGCCATGGTGTCTCATCAAAGGTTTTCATGGATTCCTTCTTTGTTNTGGGCACAAATGTGAACAAATTGGGTTCGACTGGTCTATCAACATGATTAGGTACAAACTCGGATCGTTTTATTGGTCCATCAACATGACTAGGGACCGAGTCTAAATGGTCCCCAAACTTTTCTTGTAAGAGTAAACTAATTGGACACAATAAATAAAATAAAATAAAAACTATGACTAAAATATCACTATTAAAATTTCTAATAAAATTGACGGTCAAAGTTAAAAGCAAAGAGTTTTAAAATAAATAAAATTTATATATATTCATATATTATTACTACATATATTTATGGAGAACACAAAAATAGTTGGGTAGTTGGTGAGATATTTCTTCACATGAACCTCAATTTCGTGGGTCCAAATGAATTTATATTCAATATATTCAAATATGAATGTTAACTTTCTTTAAAAACTAGATTATTTTACGGTACCGAGACTAGTTTAAAATTTTGTACAACCTAATAAAATTGTATTACAATTTAATAATGTCAAAAGCCACCAATTCATAAGTTTACACATTTGAGAACAATCGACAAAAATTGAGATCGATCTTAAACCGATCGCATTAACTAATCTGCTTTAGTTGTAACTTGTTTTGATTGGATCATAAATTTTGCTTTACCATAATTTTTTTTTGGTACAAACCAACAAAGTTTATTTGTTGGGATGGGAAGTTTGTAGAGATTCATAGGGTGGAAAGGGACTGTGTTAATGCACCCAAAGAAGGGTTGAAATAGCCTTTTCAAATAATGGGGATGTGCAGCTAAGAAGTTTTGTCAATTAGTAAGAGAAAGAAACGTCTAAATCACTTGAAATATCCACTTTCTTTGTTAGTGGACCAATTATCACTAGTTTGCGTCTTACATAGCCAAGGGAGCTGCCAAATGTGGTCAGGTTCTCTTTTCTTTGATGTTGATTTCTTGGTTTGTAACTTTTTTTTCTTGCTTTTTTTTTTTTTTTTTTTTTTCTGGTGATCAGGTAAAAGTCAATCCGTTCACCACTCGACACTTTCTGATCTGATGTGGTTTTTGTTTACACGAATAATAATAAAATTTAAGGGTGAGAAGTGAAAGTAATTCGACGGCTAACAAAGATTTAATGAGAGTCTAAAACTAACAGTGCGATTAAAAAAATAAGACTTTACAAACCCCCAGCAACGAAAGAATGTGATATCATGAATCGTTAGCTAAAAACGATTTGTTGCATGTCTGCACGTCTCGAGAAAAAAGATCTTGATTACAATCATGGTGATAAAAGATTACTTCGACAATTAAAGGTCATTTATAATATAAAATAGGACAGACTTCAATAAGTTCAATCGACGGTCTCAAATAAACTCTTCCAACAACAACCAACATCCCTCTCAAAACTATTTACATTGCACCGTGTCTTCAGACACGAGTTACCCTTAATCTCCTATAAATATTGAAGCAAAGGCTACCAAAAAGAGATCTCTCAATTAACACAATAACTCTACACAGAGTCAATCTCCTTTTTACTTGGCTTATTTTTTAGCAAATTTATGTTAACTTATAATCCATCACTCCGATAGTTTTTCCTTTTCGTTTAATGTTAAGCACAGTAATTTTTTCATCTATCAAGTTTAGTTTCTCTATTATTTTGCATTCCAGTTGTCTTTCTACGTTCTAGTTCATTTTGTTACAATTTAGAAAAGAAAATTATTTAAGTCATTAATTCCCAAGGTATAAAAAATAGCTTAGAAGTAACCTTACGTCTTGTTACAATTGTTTGAACAATCACAATTTAAGAACCTTACGCTGGTTTAAATAAGTAATGTCGTACATATTTAAGTTTTAAATCCAATCAAACTTTAGCATGCCCGCAATCTAAAATATGTCAAACAATTTTACTTTGTGAATAAATCATAAGTTTCACGCAATTTAACCAAGTTGTTCGAGAATCACCAAGCCAACACGAGTCATCATCACTAAATAGGCAGATACATTTTTGCACCATTGTGATATGTCCTGAAACATTTGTTATGTTCAACTTCTTCTTCTATGCAATATTTTGTGTGTACTCTTCAATACTATTCTGCAACAATTCTGCAACACAATGACGAATGTTTCTCAATGTTCTTTGAGTTGATAATCAATATTGCAACCTTTAATCATAACTCAAACTACGTCCTTTTGCTTGCGTTTTATAGTTGAGTCACTTAGACTTGTTTCATCAACCCATAAAAACTAACGAACCCAAAGTCAGATCGAAGAAAAAAGTTTTTATTCTCATCAAATTTCTAATAACTTGTTTAATTACACCATTCTAACTAATAATCACTTTTTTTTAATAAAATATCAAGAAAAGTGTCTAATCATGAGGGTAGTCTTTAGCCATGGTGTCTCATCATAGGTTTTCATGGATTCCTTCTTTGTTGTAGGGTCGATCCCAAAAGGTTTATCTTGCTCTGGTCCATTACCTTTCATTCTGAATTCAAATGAAGAATAAGCCCTGTGCTCTGGCATTTGCATTTAGTAGAGCTAATTGTATGCATCAACTCAGAGATTATTATATATATATATCAAACCCAGATATTACAATTGACTTTNTTTGGCATTTGCATTTAATAGAGCTAATTGTATGCATCAACTCAGATTATTATATATATATATCAAACCCAGATATTACAATTGACTTTTATTACCTAAAAAAGCACAGGCATCCTCAAAAAGAAGTTAGGCGAGTACCTACACCAGAGATCCCATCCCTCATAAGGAGGGCCCTAGAAAGAAAGATTCTACACGACGTATCCCTAACTTAGGCGAGTACCAACAGCAGGGATCCCTTCCCTCATAAGGAGGGCCCTAGAGGAAAGAAAGATTCTACACAACATATCCCTAACTAGAAGTGATCGATATAATCTATTCTAATAGAGCCTAACTTGTTCTTAAGGCAGTTTTTGACCCATGCTTCACAGAACGCGAACATGTAAGTTGTTTTACCAAAACTCGAGGATTGTCAATATATCTTAACAGCAATTATCCCCTAAAACAACAAGCTTATATGCAAGCTGAACTAGACAGAGTTCATCAAGTTCAATATACTTTTCTGTACAAAATCATCTATAATTGGGACTTATATGGATCGCAGGCATTCAAGAACAGAGTCATCAGAGTATCAGATCACAGACAAGAAGAAAAGGAACCTCATTGCAAAAATGATATCATCACTGCAAGAACAAATTCATACCAGCCTCGGATAAACAATAGGGGAAATATGTATTACATTTAAATTACATATATCTGCAGATATATGTAATTTAAATCAGGTTAGGTTCAAAAACTGAATTTATGTTTACCTATCAGATTGCAGCTTAAGCAGTTGCGCACTACCAGATTCAGCAGGAATAACAGTTGATTTGCATATCATAAAAGGTCATAATTGCAAACAGAAGAACCACATGGAGCTACCAAAATGAATGGAAATAAAGCGCGGAAAGCAAGTAATATTAATAGAACAATGAATAGTCTATTTGCTGAATAGTACATTGCATATTACTAGCATGTATCACTAATCAGATGTTTCTGCTCACTCCTCGAAGCATTGATAGATTGGCACAATATAGGTTAACTCTGAGAATTATATCCACATGGATACTTTAGACTAGAGGAGCCCCTTTTTTGAGAAGTACATGCTGATATAGCATTAACTGTCTCAACATGACAAAGCATGTAGGGCTTCCATGTTGTTTTAAGTGAAAAGGTGACAATATCAAAGTAAAAGGAAAAAATCTTATACAAAAGAATACAACAATACTCTTAGAACACTACTAAGGAGGTCTCTGGTTCACTGTTCATTATCTATACTAGGTTCCTCTGAAATTTTGTGCCAGCCCGGAACCAATGCTCAAGGGCCAACCTGTTCAATAATCATCGTAATAATCAGTGAGTTGAAGGAGATCAAAACACTGTTACAGTTGAAATGTAAGACCTGAATGCATAAAAGAGGGTCCTAAAACAAACCTGAAAGAGTACATTGCACTGAGAGATAAGGTCTTCAATTCCCATAGACAAACAAATTGGGGGAAGATGACAACTTTCCTCAGCAGGAAGCCAACAATGATGTAGCTAGAGCCAGAATAGGAGACTTAAAACTCGTGCTTTATTACTTTCAAGGGATTTTCCAATAGGAGAAAGAGAAGTCGTATCTATTCCTTAATAATTGACATGCCATCAGATGTTGAAGTGGAGGAAAGAGTGAAAAAAGTGTTTCACTCACTATGCACTAAATGGATGCATATTCGCGTGATCAATCCATAGATGGGGGAATTGCGTGAATGACGAGTAGTTGACATTAGACAATGTAAGTAGAGGAAATAGTGAAAAAGGCGGAGACAGAAACAATGTTTGTGGCATAGGTGACCTTTACAAAAAAACCAATTTCCACAGAAAATTCGTGATTGACAAGATTGTGATTTACATCTACTTCATAAGAAATCAAGTACCAAGTAAAAGTAGACTCTCGAGAACCAGCCATAATGCCAGTCAAGCCTTCATTTCCGGCTAAACTTTTTGCCCTATCCAGTTGGAATGTAAAAAACATCCTCTGACGGCTCAAATTACTGATTATTGTCATACAAAAAGTGTTGATTAACTAGTAATCAAGGTACAGAGTTACCCTACTAAACATTTCATATGGAAGTTTTAATCTCCAATCCTTCTGTTTTCGGCTTAATGGTCTTCCTTTTGCTGAAGGCTCTCTATTTTCCTTAACATCTGCCAACTTCCAGACACAGCTCCCGGATTCTGTCTCAACGGACTCCAGGAAGAATACTCCATTCTTTTCTGGGCGTCCAGCATCTACATCTTCCATGTAGTTTACTCTCATAGGCATGTCTTTGAATCGGTCCAAGTCATCTGGAACTTTAATTAGTCGCTCAGCACCAGGAGAGGATACCTTGAGAGCAGAACGGAAAAAAAAAATTGTTAATATTAAGCTCTTTGGCTCCATGGAAAACTTTATTGAAAATAAATTGCCTATATCCTAAAAAAGAGTCATTAGGAAGAAATTACTTCAAGAGCCAGATCATCAGGTATTTCTCCCATTGCTCCTACTTCGTCTAATTTTTTCTTGTATTGCTGACTGTAAGTTTCTATCTCCTCCATGCTGGGACACCCATATCTAATGAAACACAATTTATTTGAACAGATTTTCAGAAGCCAAGTCAAAAAATTATTTAAAACCATAGCCAACACTCTGGGAGCAAACATAGAATAATTCAACAAACATTAAACAGTTCTGCTCCTAGCACCAAAGTATTCTCTCAGATTACTATGGCCACAGTAAAAATCAATATCTCTCGTGGAAACACCAAACCTTCTCAGCATCCAAACATCGCTAAAGCAATCATGAGAGATCATATGAAATAGGTTTTAAAAAAAAACTAGGTCAACAAACTTCACCATTGATGAGCCTAGATTCAGATGGGTACAGGTCCGATCCATGAAGTAAGCCCAAAATCAGATAAAAGATAGGTCAAACCCAGCTCTCGTGGCCTTATTCCAGTCCAAAATTAAAGAGACACAAGAAATCAGTGCACGTAGGGAGTAATCATAGGGATAGTCAATCAGACTCTCAAAGATCAAGACTATCTCTAATTATATCCATCCGTAGTTGTAGCTATCTTTCCCAACAAGCTAGTAACCTACCCTTTACGCCACCGCCTCAACTAGAGCTCTATGCCTATAAATTGTAAACCCTCTTACACATGAGGGACACATCTCTCCCACACAGCTATCTCTCTCATATAACTACCTCATCACACCCATAACTTGCTTATGCTCTCTCTCCCATCTTTTACTTTATTAATAAAGTTATCTGGCTACCGTTGTCGCCTTCGGCGGTTAGTTCACCTTGGCCCAACCACCCACTCTTTGCCTTTTTATTATTAATTGCGTCACAACACACACTCAACTTATTGATTATGCATAAATCTACTTTTACACATGAGGGACACATCTCTCCAACTTAAATGACTCCCCCTGTAGATCATTTCCCACTTGCCATATGATGTCCATATCATTTTCGGACATCTACTATACAAAAATGTGGGAGNGCCTTCCTTTTGCTGAAGGCTCTCTATTTTCCTTAACATCTGCCAACTTCCAGACACAGCTCCCGGATTCTGTCTCCACGGACTCCAGGAAGAATACTCCATTCTTTTCTGGGCGTCTAGCATCTACATCTTCCATGTAGCTTAATCTCATAGGCATGTCTTTGAATCGGTCCAAGTCATCTGGAACTTTAATTAGTCGCTCAGCACCAGGAGAGGATACCTTGAGAGCAGAACGGAAAAAAAAAATTGTTAATATTAAGCTCTTCGGCTCCATGGAAAACTTTATTGAAAATAAATTGCCTATATCCTAAAAAGAGTCATTAGGAAGAAATTACTTCAAGAGCCAGATCATCAGGTATTTCTCCCATTGCTCCTACTTTGTCTAATCTTTTCTTGTATTGCTGACTGTAAGTTTCTATCTCGTCCATGCTGGGACACCCATATCTAATGAAACACAATTTATTTGAACAGATTTCAGAAGCCAAGTCAAAAAAGTATTTAAAACCATAGCCAACACTCTGGGAGCAAACATAGAATAATTCAACAAACATTAAACAGTTCTGCTCCTACCACCAAAGTATTCTCTCAGATTACTATGGCCACAGTAAAAATCAATATCTCTTGTGGAAACACCAAACCTTCTCAGTATCCAAACATCACTAAAGCAATCATGAGAGATCATATGAAATAGGTTTTAAAAAAAAACTAGGTCAACAAACTTCACCAATGATGAGCCCAGATTTAGATGGGTACAGGTCCGATCCATGGAGTAAGACCAAATCAGATAAAAGATAGGTCAAACCCAGCTCGTGGCCTTATTCCAGTCCAAAATTAAAGAGACCCAAGAAGTCAGTGCACGTAGGGAGTAATCATAGGGATAGTCACTCAAACTCTCAAAGATCAAGACTATCTCTAATTATATCCATCCGTAGTTGTAGCTATCCTCCCCAACAAGCTAGTAACCTACCCTTCACACCACCGCCTCAACTACAGCTCTATGCCTATAAATTGTAAACCCTCTTACACATGAGGGACACATCTCTCCCACACAGCTATCTCTCTCATATAACTACCTCATCACACCCATAACTTGCTTATGCTCTCTCTCCCATCTTTTACTTTATTAATAAAGTTATCTGGCTACCGTTGTCGCCTTCGGCGGTTAGTTCACCTTGGCCCAACCACCCACTCTTTGCCTTTTTTTTATTAATTGCGTCACAACACACACTCAACTGATTGATTATGCATAAATCTACTTTTGTGCATCATCAACCATATTCTTACAAGTTCTTTGTTGTCCCCATAATTGTTCTACTGTCCAATAAATTCCAATGAGAAGGTAAGATCATACAGTCCAACTTAAATGACTCCCCCTGTAGATCATTTCCCACCTGCCATATGATGTCCATATCATTTTCAGACATCTACTATACAAAAATGTGGGAGAAAATTCATTGAGGAGCCATACCGGAGGAAGAGAAAGGGAGCAATTATGTAAATTCAAAGGCTATACTACACAATAGAGGCTGGATGGTGGGGGATTCATAACAACTACGAGACAACAAAACCAGAATAGAATAAATAAGAAACAAAGAAAGCAAAAAAAGACATTTGCTTTTGTTTTTGCTGAACAAAAAATTTCTAAGAACTTAATGATCTATTGGAGCAATTGGACGCTGCAGAGAAGCTTACTCATTTGAGAGCTTGTCTAGTCTCACATAAATGTACCCTCGAGGTGACGTTTTGAAAGCATAGAGCTTCATGTCATCTCCAAATTGCAGTAGGACTTCACGGGCTATGTGCAGTGCCTGTTCACCCCATGAGCAATTCTGAAGAACAACTCCGCCCCCATCCCCTCCATCGCCAATCTAAATTGTCGAACAGCTTGTGCCCATTAAACTGTAATATGTATTTTTGCTAACAGAAAACAGAGTTTTTGAAACTGAAACCAACATACCTCTGGGTCTGCTTCATCCTCTTCCTCCCATGAATCAATCGGTTCCACCTCTTCATCTGTTTCATCTGCAAATTATACACATTTAGATCAAAAACCACACTCACCGATCAAAATTCAAATTATACACATTTAGATAACCAGTTTGAAAGAAAAAACTAGAGAGATTACCCTGAAGTTGGTTTTCATGGCTGATACCTTCGGAGGAACTTGTGTTAAAGTACCAAGAAGTTATAGAATAAGGGTAAGCGAGTTTACAAGGAACACCATTAAAAACCCGATGACAAAGATGGCAAGCGGAAGATGAAAAGTTAGGGTTTTGAAGCGTGGTCGGTGGTGGTGTTAGTAGTGGTAGATGAGTATGACAAGAGGGTGAGAAAGGAGGTTTAGTTGCAGAGAAGGGCGAAGAAGGAAGAAGGGACCTTCCACCTCTGAGGAAAAACGAAGAGTGAAACCTACTAGTAGTAGTATTAATCTTCATCTTTCTCAGCTCGTTCTGTACTGCAGTTCGACTGTGTCTTCAGAGATCTATCAAGTGATTTTATGTCATTTAAGTCCTTTAATTTTCATTTTTTTTATTAATTGTGGCTTAAACTTTTTAATTATTTCAATTGAATCCTTTTATCCGCCTCTAAAATGTGACAAATAATTGAAATAATAGTCACGTAATGACAATTAGAGAATTTAGACACTTAATTGACACAAAAAAAAAAAAAAATTTAAAGGCAGAATTAACATAAAAGTCATAATTAGAGATTCATATATGTAATTTACTCTAAATTTAAATAGTATTTTATCACCCATAAATATTTAGTAATTCGGTGGAACATCTATACCATCCGTGTTGGATTTGAACCAAAAAAACAATTCCAATCACACTATACCAGAAATGTGTCTATACATATAGTTTCATAGAGTGGTGTTTGAGACGTCGCTCAAAAAAAGAGTGGCGGTGGTTGACAGATTCGCACAAAGGGTACAGACAAATAACCAAACCACCGGAGAGGCACCACTCATACCAAACACTGATTAGGAACTGCAAAGAACTGCACCGAAACCAATGCGAGGATGCGCCAACGAATATAGGGTAGCAAGATGCAGAGAAGCTGGTGAAATTAAGAGAGCCCTCCTCTTGGAAGTAAGATTTAAGCTTCAAGCAGACTTAACCAGCACTACTTTTGTTATAGAGCAGTAATGGCATTAGTTTAAACGTAACTCTGCTTGCACATTGTGCTACCTAGTTTTCATCATTTAGAGCAAAACAAACTAATAATCGACGCATAATCTCATTTCGACCAACAATATACAGTTGCTGGTCAGGCAACTCGGGCTGCTTTTGGCATAGGAACAAGAGGAGCAGGAATTATCCCCCATCTCCGCCGAACATCCTCCAAATCCTCATCAAAATGACGCTCGTAATATACACACATAAGGTCTGTGCACCGCATACCAGCCTGTATTGCCCATGGGAAGTAATGCTGGTAGAACAATGTTCTCTGCTTCTCGCTGAATCTTGCAGTGCCTCCAATGACAGACATCAGGCACATGGGAAGCAGCATTTGCTCAAATTCTATCACTTTAAGTGCTGACTCGCCGATCAAGTTGGTTGGGAGGCCAAACAGGGTGTGCCAGAAATCATGCACCTCACGGGCACGCATGGCCACATATGCCAGCTCCTCTGTTTCCATGAACCGTACTGGTGGCCGATCATCAGGGGAGAAGTTCCTAGATCCCATGAATGATGCATAGGCAGCACCAAATGTGTTTGCTGGGAGATCCCATGCATGCCCCACATTAGCAGAGATGATACGAGGGCGCTCCAATAATACCGCCTGACATAAAGCAAAAAGGAGACCATAATCTTCAGTAGACCGGTTGTGATTGAAACAACAAATACTCTCATAAANCATATATTAGGTGTAACAATGACACTACGTCATCACCACTATATGGTGTCACTATCCACTAATAAACCTGTAAATGAACAAGATGAACTCACTTGATAGTTATTTTCAGAGATTGGACTGTTATCAAATACATGGAGGGTGATTACGATAATATGTGGGATCCACTTACTTATTTATAAGTTTATTATTGGATAGTGACACCACGTAGCGGTGATGACGTGGTATCACCGTTACACCTAATATTTTCTCTAAGATTAGGTGCCCCACAAAATTTGCCAAAATCATTTCCAAACCTACACTTATCCCTTAACTTTTGAAAAAACGTCACCACCTCAAATTTTGACCATAACTAGAATTCTTAGATTAGATATAAAAGTTGAGAGTCTCCTAAAATTGAGAATCTTATCTTCCCACCCCCACCAAGCGGATATTGCTTCTCTTAGAATCCTCCACGATTTTTGAAAATCACCAATGATAAGATCCTTTCAAAGTTCAAGAAGACTCTGCCATAGCTCCTCCTTTTATTTTCTGGGTAGCTCCCTCCAATGCCAACTATAGGAAACTCCTTTCTACTATACTCTTGAAACCAATCATACCACCAACTTTGAGATTGATCAGTTCCTCCCCATTCCACACTATCACTCCACCCCCATTGGCCAAGAACTCCTCCATCCATCCCCTAAACTCCGCCCTAAGCCATTATTAATAATTAACTAACATTACCCTCCATAATCACACAAAAGATGCAAATTTGCAACCTAGTCACATTAAGAATCCCATAGTCTTGAACTCTGCCAAGCAATATTCTTCATCCACACTCAAGAGTGCAAAACCAATAATGAGAGAGTTTGAGATCCGAATTTCTAATGAATTCGAAAGAGCAAAAACATCCAGTAAACAAAAAAGTGGAGAAGTTCATTACGTCGAAGCTTATTTTAAAAACTGTACACAGAACAAACTTTATATCACGCCACATGAAATAATATCTCATTGGCCTTGAACACCACTGGACAGAATCGCTAGTAACATCAAAACCTATCTCCACCATTCATTGAGTATACCAATCAGATCTTATTATGTTTTTGGAAAGAAAAAAAAAACAACACTTAATGTACACAACAAGCACTTGGCACGAAATTTGATCAATGCTAACCTGCACTTGCAAGGTAGATATGAAAACGAGAATCACACAAATTGAAAATAGCCAGGGAGCACTAAGTTTAGATTGATCAAATCTTTATTAGGCATTTCATCGAACAGTTTGCGAGCACGCTTGAATGCAAGTAAATGGATGCAATGTAAACCACACGTAAATGCATGAAATTATATTAAGATAATAAAACAGGCCTCAATGGAAAGTAGAGACAGACAGAAAAGATTGAAGTTTGAGTAGCGGTTGTGAGAATAATTGCGATGACCAAAAACAGAGCACAGTTGTTGTTCATCGCTCACCAATTCCACGACAAAATCAACCAATTACTCCGGCGCGGATGTCGCAATTTTGAGCCAGGATAGACTCGAGACTCATCAGACAGTGATGGTAACTCCATCACCACTAGCGTTGTGGATCGATTTAATTCCATAATTGACCACCACACCATCACCATCACCGGTCATACTGTGTACAGACAGAGGAGAAAGGGTATGAAATAGATAAGAGAGTTACCTGCGGTGGTGACAGCAGTGTGCCAGTAGTTTTTGAGGAATTTCGTTGAACAGATGGTGGTCGAGGTGGGTATCGGGCCGCGGATGGTAGCTGGGGTTGGAGTCGACTCCGAGAGAGAAAGGGGTAAGGAGAGTATCAAAGAGTGAGAATGTGCTTGTGTGTGTGTGCGCTCTGTGCCTTGGCGTAAAGTGTGAAAGTGTGGGTGTGCTTTGTTGTGTGCGTCGGTGTAGAACCGGTGGCCCTAGAGAGAGAGGAGGCCAGATGGGGAACCTGGAGAGAGCAAGAAAGAATGAGAGATAGAAAGGATTTTATTACTTAGGGCAAATTTCATTCTACCCCTTGTGGTTTGTCCTTAGAGCACATCACCCCCTTATCGTTTAAAAATAAGCAGATAACATCCTTGTGCTGTAGGACCAAACTGAACAGCTAACACCGTTAACAGAGATAGAAAAAAGACATTCCTATCCCTCAGTGGCTTCCGCCATATCTTCCTCCTCTTCAGTTAAACAAACAAAATAACCACCGCCACCTCCACTCCACTGTCCACATCCACCATTCTACCACTGCCACCATCACCTAATCATCCTCACTGTTCATTAACACCACCCTACTGTGAACAAACATTACAATCACAAATCAAACAAATTGATTAAATTCAAAAAAGAATTTCATATTTAAAACCTTTTTTGTAATAGGTTCTGGATTTGAAATAATTGAGAATCAAATCTAGAAATTAATAGAAACTGGAATTGAACAAAAAAATCCAAACCGAAAATTGAATCAAACACAAATCAGAATCAAAGCAAAATCAACCGCAATGTCACCTGTTGTAGTGGTGGTCGACGGTGATGTACTCCGTTGCATCAGTCATTTGTTGCAGAGGACATACCACCGAGAGAGAGACCTAGAAAGAGGAGGTATGCGATGGTCGGTGATACTGGTTACGGCGACGGTGGGTGGTTGTACAAAGAGAGAGAGTGACTTGAAAGTACGGAGGTGGGTGGCTGTGGGAGGAGACGGGTGCTAGAAGAGGACGAAGTGAAGTTGTGCAATAAGACGTGCTGGCCAGCTGGGTGGACTGTTAGTGGTAAGCAAGAAGGGAAGAAGATGCTTGGAGTGGTAATTTTGTCTTTTTAATGGTTGAAGGGCATAATTGTATTTTAATTAAAAATTGACTGTTGACTCAGGATTTTTTCCATACCCCAACCCACCCTTATTTTAGGCGCGTATAACATAATTTCTGTTAATTTGAACGAAAATTGTAACAGTAACAGATTGGTTCAAAAGTACAAGGGGCTTATCTGCTTATTTTTATACAATAAGAACATCTCCAATAATACTATGTAAAATAGTTATTCAAAATATATTTAAATATTTTATTATCTACTTTACATGATCAATTTTTCAAATTCATTCCAACAATGCTATCTATTTTATTTAACCACTTCAACTAAGTTAACTAACTTTCGATAATAAAATCTAAAATATTATATAATATGTCCTGTCATCACCATATTGATGACATCACATTCTGACGTGTTATATCAAGTTATCAAAATTTTAAAATTTTTATTTTTATTAATAACGATTATATTTACAAAAGTCACGAAATTCAAAATTTTAAAATTTAAATTTTTCAACGATCATATTTACGACAGTCATATTTGTAACGGTCATATTTTTGAATATGTATAAATAGGATCTTTCATCCCTCATTGTCATACATCTCAAATCTATTTATTGGCATTGCACTCTTCTTTGTATTTATGTTATGGCTCTCCATTCTGCAATGAACACAATTCTTAACGATTCTGACTCCGATGATAAATTGGAGATGGTAATATTTTATGCAATTGAAATGAACAAACTTACTAATAAGGAAAGTAAGAATGTCTCAGATAGGTTCAAAAGTGGCGTTTCTCGATCAATACAATCAGATAGGTTCAAAACAAGAATGTATCTGCTTAAGCACTACCCTCGATGCAAATCAACAGCAGACCAAATCAAGTCATCGATTGGAGCAGAAATCTTTCACTTTTCTCATTATTGTTCATTGATTTATGCATTATTCAAGTATCCATCCTCAACTTATAATTGTGTAAACCAAAATAATAAAATTTGACTAACAAAATTGAACAATGCCACAGGCATACCCAATAACAATCCAGTAAACCAATACCCAAAAATCAAACAAATGATCAAGAAAACCAATACCCAAAAATCAACAATACAAAAATCAAGTANAATTGACTGTTGACTCAGGATTTTTTCCATACCCCAACCCACCCTCATTTTAGGCGCGTATAACATATTTTCTGTTAATTTGAACGAAAATTGTAACAGTAACAGATTGGTTCAAAAGTACAAGGGGCTTATCTGCTTATTTTTATACAATAAGAACATCTCCAATAATACTATGTAAAATAGTTATTCAAAATATATTTAAATATTTTATTATCTACTTTACATGATCAATTTTTCAAATTCATTCCAACAATGCTATCTATTNCTAATAATCTAATAATACTATGTAAAATAGTTACTCAAAATATATTTAAATATTTTATTATCTACTTTACATAATTATTTTTTCAAATTCACTCCACCAATACTATCTATTTTATTTAATCACTTCAATTAAGTTAACTAACTTTCAATAATAAAATCTAAAATACTATATAATATGTCATGTCATCACCATATTGATGACATCACATTCTGACGTGTTATGTCAAGTTATCAAAATTTTAAAATTTTTATTTTTATTAATAACGGTTATATTTACAAAAGTCACGAAATTCAAAATTTTAAAATTTAAATTTTTCAAAGGTCATATTTACGACAGTCATATTTGTAAAGGTCATATTTTTGAATATGTATAAATAGAATCTTTCATCCCTCATTTGTCATACATCTCAAATCTATTTATTGGCATTGCACTCTTCTTTGTGTTTATGTTATGGCTCTCCATTCTGCAATGAAAACAATTCTTCCGATGATAAATTGGAGATGGTAATATTTTATGCAATTGAAATGAACAAACTCACTAATAAGGAAAGTAAGAATGTCTCAGATAGGTTCAAAAGTGGCGTTTCTCGATCAATACAATCAGATAGGTTCAAAACAAAAATGTATCTGCTTAAGCACTACCCTCAATGCAAATCAACAGCAGACCAAATCAAGTCATCAATTGGAGCAAAAATTTTTCACTTTTCTCATTGTTGTTCATTGGTTTTATGCATTATTCAAGTATCCATCCTCAATGAAGCATCTCAACTTATAATTGTGTAACCAAAATAACAAAACTTGACTAACAAAATTGAACAATGCCACAGGCATACCCAATAACAATCCAGTAAACCAATACCCAAAAATCAAACAAATGATCAAGAAAACCAATACCCAAAAATCAACAATACAAAAATCAAGTAAATCAATACAAACAAATGATCAACAATACAATTAATCCAATCAGGCAAGACCCATCAAGTAAACCAATACCCACATGATTGAGTAAAATATAAACGGAAGAAAAATAGATCTGAATGTATGAAATTCTGAAACATATCAGAGATTTTTTGGAGATCTGAATGTATGTATGAAAGAAAGATAGATCTGAATGTATGAATGTAAGAAAAATAGATCTGCTGAAAGTCGGTGAAGCTCCTCTAGTTCTTTTGGTTCTTCACAGAGCTCCTCTGGTTCTTCCTCTTAATTTCAGTCTACAATGAAATCGATGAAGCTTTCAATAATCTTTTGTGCTGAATGTCGGTGGAGCCTCTCGGTGAAGCTTCAGTGATCTTCGGTGGAGCCTGCGATGAAACCTTGTCGGTTCTGTGTTGTGGAGCTTCAATGAGATAGAAAGAGAGAGCCAGCGAGGGAGAAGGGCTAGCTACATCAACCGGGTGAAAATGGGGTTATCTGAATAGCTAGTCTCTTGTACCCATATTTTGGGTAGTTGTCTAAAATAGTTAAAAAAAAACCTTTTAACTAGTCTTTTGCCGACGTTCTATGGGTTGATGCGTTCACAAACCACAAAGAGGGAAAATAAAGTTTACCCTATTATTTATATTGAGAGAAAAATCTAAAATTATAGATATTAAATTTAAAAAATTAATTTTAACTATCAGATTAATTATGAATATTTAAAGTTGAGAAATTCAGAAACTCTCAGGATTTTATTATTAAATGAACTGAATTAGTTCATCGCATCCAAATGTTGATTTGGCACCATTTGGTTTGTTTCAAGAACTTAATACCAAAATGAAGTTTCATGCAATGATGCACTTAAGAGTCATTCTCATTTATGTTTCCAGTGCCCCTTATTCTAACATAGTTTGTAGTTCAATAACGCATAGCTATACCACGAATAAGCACTTGCCATAGCCATCGATCCAGTCTGAGTTATAATATGCCTGTCATTTTTATCCCCAATAAACATGACCCCCCTGTAAACTCTTCAATCCAAAACTAAGTGTCAGTAACAGTAAACAGCTAACAAGTAACAACCATGGATGTGTACTAGAAATAGTTAATGACCAGCTGATTTAAGGCACAAAACGCAACATGCAAGGTAAACTTTGTTGTTCGTGGTCACTGAGCTTTGTAACAGATATTTATGCCTCCACAATTCACTTTACCCTGCTGAATATTTCCAGCAACCAACACTCACACATACATAATACATTACACCATTAAGCTTCCATTGTTCATAAGAGAAGAAAACATTTATGACTTCACCAAGACCATAGGAATTGATTAAGCGTGCTTCATTTAGAAGCAAAGGCATAGGGGCATATCTTCAGTTGCCACCACCACCGGCACCACCAAAGAGGTAGTTCAGAGATGATCCACCACCAGGAGCAGCATGGACTTTAGTTGAGGGCCGGTCCTGCAAGGAAGGAAGAATATTGACCATAACTAAACATGGTTTGTTTGATATTACTAACAAAAAAAGGAGTAAAAAAAAAAGTTGCAAGAATAGACTCAAATTCATCGTAGGATAAAGCATAAGCAAATACTTTATGGAAACATCCCAGTCTCACGGCCTTCCCAATATTTTTTCTCTTGTTAAATTGTATCCAGCATGCTGTATAAACTAGCTAGCTAAAGATTTGTTTTATGCTTAACATATCAGAGATTGGTCAACGATCACGGCATTGTCCAGAGTGGCATCGTATTTTATGCAGTAGAGTACAATATTTTTCACAAATAATAAAAGAATAAGAAACATGGTATATAAAGAAAAAATGTGGTGCAAAGATAAAGGGAAACTGTGGTAATACAATGGTTATGTGAGCAATTGTCAATAGCATAGACAAAAGCATTAACTAAGAATTAGACAGAGAGGGATCCATAAAGAATCAGAATTGTCATTAAATAGACAGAATTACTATTGACAAGTCACACGAATTTCATTCCGAACATCATAGAATGTGCTGTTCAACAGCAATTCCTCCCTAGATCAGATGGACAAGGTATCCTAGGTTGGGAGACCAGTTAATCAAATATTGTCCTATGTCAAGCANAACATGCAAGGTAAACTTTGTTGTTCGTGGTCACTGAGCTTTGTAACAGATATTTATGCCTCCACAATTCACTTTACCCTGCTGAATATTTCCAGCAACCAACACTCACACATACATAATACATTACNTGTAACAGATATTTATGCCTCCACAATTCATTTTACCCTGCTGAATATTTCCAGCAACCAACACTCACACATACATAATACATTACACCATTAAGCTTCCATTGTTCATAAGAGAAGAAAACATTTATGACTTCACCAAGACCATAGGAATTGATTAAGCGTGCTTCATTTAGAAGCAAAGGCATAGGGGCATATCTTCAGTTGCCACCACCACCGGCACCACCAAAGAGGTAGTTCAGAGATGATCCACCACCAGGAGCAGCATGGACTTTAGTTGAGGGCCGGTCCTGCAAGGAAGGAAGAATATTGACCATAACTAAACATGGTTTGTTTGATATTACTAACCAAAAAAGGAGTAAAAAAAAAAGTTGCAAGAATAGACTCAAATTCATCGTAGGATAAAGCATAAGCAAATACTTTATGGAAACATCCCAGTCTCACGGCCTTCCCAATATTTTTTCTCTTGTTAAATTGTATCCAGCATGCTGTATAAACTAGCTAGCTAAAGATTTGTTTTATGCTTAACATATCAGAGATTGGTCAACGATCACGGCATTGTCCAGAGTGGCATCGTATTTTATGCAGTAGAGTACAATATTTTTCACAAATAATAAAAGAATAAGAAACATGGTATATAAAGAAAAAATGTGGTGCAAAGATAAAGGGAAACTGTGGTAATACAATGGTTATGTGAGCAATTGTCAATAGCATAGACAAAAGCATTAACTAAGAATTAGACAGAGAGGGATCCATAAAGAATCAGAATTGTCATTAAATAGACAGAATTACTATTGACAAGTCACACGAATTTCATTCCGAACATCATAGAATGTGCTGTTCAACAGCAATTCCTCCCTAGATCAGATGGACAAGGTATCCTAGGTTGGGAGACCAGTTAATCAAATATTGTCCTATGTCAAGCAAGCCTTCCAGCCATTCTCCTAATGAAAAAGTAAGATCTTTCAACAACATTCTATGACTGCTCACTTCTTGAAGATAGAGGCTTCAGCTCATTGTTAAAGTCACTGGCGAGCTCAACAGTTAATTTTGAAGACCATGCTCACATTGTCAGCATAATTGAACTAGTTTGGCATATGTTGGGTGTACACAATAACACAAAACTACATGTGTTTCCATCACAATAAAAGCTGGTATTAACAGAACAAACGCCACTGCCCTTCTCCTAAAAAGGAAAATATCAATCTCATTTCCTTATTTTAAACCAAAGATATGAATCTACTACCTCAAAATCCACAACAGCACGGAGACAAATGCCTTAACCTACAACATTCAGTTATCTCGATCTGCAGTAGGACTTAATGAAATGTTTGTGACTTCTAAGCGAGTACTAGCAACCAACAACTTCATCAAGTGAAACAATAAAAATAAAGATATCTTTCTCAAACGAAAGAAAAAAGGTAACCCAATGTTTTTCAACTTTTCATTTTCAAAATCAGTCTTCGATACTACTTTGAAATTAACAAATATAATTCATATCATGTACTTAGACATTACTGATCTTCTCTTATGGTCTGATGTACTTAATCATTGAGAAAACTTAGAAACAAACTATTGCACCTNATTATAATTCATGTCATGTACTTAGACATTACTGATCTTCGCTTATGGTCTGATGTACTTAATCATTGAGAAAACTTAGAAACAAACTATTGCACCTAGTTGCATTAGTGAGGTGTAAGCATGTTTCTTCTTCATCAGACACGCAGGTAATTTGNAGAAAACTTAGAAACAAACTATTGCACCTAGTTGCATTAGTGAGGTGTAAGCATGTTTCTTCTTCATCAGACACGCAGGTAATTTGATCAATTAAGGATTTCTTACAATGGATGCTTACACTTCTAAGTAGATCACTGATTCCTGAAGTTTGTTTCAGAAGCCATACATTCCATTTCTTTGAGTGGAACTTTCAAGTCATCTTTAGAATATAATTTGGTTTACATTCCCAATTTTACTACTTTCTCCAAAAGTAACACAAGCATGCCAAGAGCCCAGTAACAAACTATGCAATTAACACCAAGGAAACAACAAAATCGTTTTGAATAGCGACATACCGTAATAAAATTGCCAGTATTCTGACCATCTGCCCTGAGATAGTTGTTTGTAGTGCTACTAAGGATGCCTGCAGGAATCTGCTTGCTTACATCAACTGGTGGAGAAGCAACACTTGGCTTGGGGGGAGGCACATTGTTTGCAGCCTGCACATTGTTTGCAGCCTGCCCTTCATTTGGAGCAGCTTGGGCATTATTTGTGACTGGTTTTGGAGCCTCTCCACTTCCAAACAAATAGCCCAATGAACTCTGTCCACCACCACTGCTGACTCCACGACCCATATCTGCAACTTCTCTAGAAAAGAAACACCAACCGTGCCCACAACTTATAAAAGATGATGCACACAAGTAGAGGAAACTCAATAAAAGTAGAACGTTTGATGCAGTAATAAAGAGGCGAACAGATGTAGTATGCCATAGGAAGGGATCATGAACACAAGAACCACCAAAATTGGGTCAAAATTTACTTCTATTACTACATCTACAAGAATAGCTTCTTGCATAAAACATACGTGTAAACAACACCAGAGAGACCCTGTTACACATTGTATTGACAACTTCATTTCCTGATTTCACATCTTCCAGACTAAATTCAATGCTTATCATCAGCATTCCAAACGGGATTCGTTCAGTTCCGCAATGTATGAAAGTACAGAAGTCCCTCGAAGCCTAAGCAATGCTCAAAAGAACTGAACCCGAACAGATTTATAATCACGTAGGCAATGCACTTTTTTTATAAATGGTGCAAATATTAATTCTTCATACAAACTCATTGATAGTTTTCCAAGGCCCGTAACAACATTTTCCAAAACAGATATATATATATATATGCACGTAGTGCGTGTGTGACTGTGTGTTTTGTGAAAACCATGCTCCTGAAACCAAGAGAAACGAAAGAAATTAAAACACATCAAATTCATATGGAATGAAAACATGTCATTTTCAAAGGAGAATGACAGGAAATCGCAGCGCAATTTATCACAAAACCCTACTCTCACAATTAACAACATTTACAGGGGAAAAAAAATAGGTAATTTTAGCAGTGAAAAGCACAAACAGATCAAAAAAATGTAGCCGCACTAATCGATGATTACTCATACCACCAAATCTGAAACAGTAACGAATGGTTTACGAGTTAGCGTTAGAAAAACAATATACACACAAACATACATACATATCTTCGATGAATCTGAGTGAATAGAAAGAGATCTGCTGTTACGATGTTGATACCTTTTTTTCTTCTTTCAGATCAGATCTGGAAGAGAGGTGGGTGGCGTGGGGGGAATTGGATGCTGTGAGAGAGAGAGACAGACAGAAAGGGCGAGAGGGGGGTTCATCTGGGGTGGGACAGAAATGCACTCACGTGCTACATGCACGATTATAAAAAAATAAAAATAAAAATAAAAAAAGAAGGGGGAAGAATCTCACCTTGTAAAGTGAAAAGATTTAAATTTTTTTATTTCATACTCTCAAAAATAAAAAATTTCTCATATTACACTGTTAACATATTAACAATGTTGTAATATGGCGCCCTTCCGTTACTCTTAGTCTATCAAAATACACTTCATTAAAGTTAAATAAATGAGTAACGAAAACTAACAAAAATATTGTATTATAATATTTTAATATATTAGGTGTATAATATAAAAAATTTAATTTTTATAGGTATAAAGTAGGGATTTTTAAATCTTTCACGGTATAAAATATAATTCACCTAAAAAAAAAGACAAATTTTTGGCCGGCTGATAAATTGTTGGATAAATTGCATTCAAAATCCCTATATAGGTTTGTCACTATCATATGGACCCCTAGTGTATACAAATTACACTAGCAACCCCAAAAGTTTATACATGACCCCCTCATGTATACAAAATTTTAGTAAAAAAATTAATTTTTTTTGGTATGNCATGACCCCCTCATGTATACAAAATTTTAGTAAAAAAATTAATTTTTTTTGGTATGAAGTAGGGATTCTTAAATCTTTTTAGGGTATAAAATATAATTCACCTAAAAATTGGCCAACTTGATAAATTGTTGGATAAATTGCATTCAAAACCCCTATATAGGTTTGTCATTATCATATGGACCCCTCGTGTATACAAATTACACTAGCAACCCCAAAAGTTTATACACGACCCCCCTCATGTATACAAATTTCACTAACATTCCCAAAAATTTATACATGGTTAACACACAGACCCTGTCGTTAGGAGTTGTTTGAAATCCCATTCAAATTTGATTATTGTTTCATTCAAATTTGATTACATTATCAAATTTTTCATTAAATTTTTTAAAAAATACATATATCAAATTACTTAGAGCACTTTGTTATTGGATTAACAGTGATCTCCATTATTGATTGAGACCTACTATTAATCCACTTGATATAACACATTAGATCAACAAATAAAGTCAATAAATTTAAATCTAAATAATATTTTCCAATTACATGATACTAATCCACTTTATTCTATGCCAACGATAAACCTTGTTACTGACCAATTGATAATCAATATAATCATTTCAATTCAAATCTATTCCCCACCAAAATGCCCCCCCCCCCC